CAATTATTCTGCCTTCCCAGCATTCCACACATAGCAGCACTGCTCCACGGATCCTGCAAACGCTAATGACGCATTATGAGCTCGAAGCCTGTCGTTTGTGATAAACAAACCAGCCCTGCTATTTTCAGGCCTGCTGTATGTTTAATGTGTGTAAACATGGAGGTGAAATTGCTCCTGAGATTGCCGTCTGATGCGGTTTTATGGCTTGACTGAAAGGTTTGTTTGTGCTTCCACAGCTAAAAGTTTGCTTGCAGCATATCCCAATTCACTTGCTATGCAAGTATACACTAAAATATGTGCTCCAAGTGCCTTTGATAACTGAGTAATCTTATTAGCATCTTGCTAAAGTCATTACCTTCATTTTTGAATATAAATTTCTTTGTATGGACAAGAATGCTCATTTGTGTTCACAAAAAGTAGAAAGTAAGTAAGTAATATGAGATCAGAGTGAATAAAGGTGAATGAAAGATGACAATTGTAATTTATGAGTAAACTATCTCTTTACAGTCTGTGTAGGCAATTCAGAGAATTGTTTCTAAACACATTATACATGTTAGAAATGAATTGCTGAAAACACGTTACAAAGACTGAACTATGTAGCACTGAATTGTGGAGTTTTTCACCATTTTTGTGTTCAGGATTTTTGCTGCTTATTAACTTATTTACAGAATGCTGCTTTTTTTTCAAGATTTTGGTATTTAATTTTATTTACTAGGCGTTTTTTATCATTCAAATTTGGCTGGGTGGTTAATAACCCATTTTTCTGTGGTGTAGCAAACTCAGAACACATATTTAATATTGATTTACACAGATTTGAACTATATTTCATATTTCAAAACTCCCAGCAGAAATCCTACACGATTTGGGCACATTTGCTCACTATTGTCAGCATACTTTGCTTTGGGGCTCATTCTAATCTCACATGCTTATTTATATTTAAAATAGGTGGTTTTGGAATTGGGACGCGGGGACAGTCTCCCTCTAAAAATGCAGAAAGTTTCCTGTAAGGGGTAGGTTTAGGTGTAGGGCAATAGAAAATACAGTCTGTACAGTAGAAAAACCATTACGCCTATGGAGAGTCCCCACAAGGATAGCAAACCAGACATGTGTGTGTGTGTGTGTGTGTGTGTGTGTGTGTGTGTGAAAAAATATGTACCACATGCAAGCAAAATCTGACAAAAACCTCCTACTGAGGACATTTAAAGATGTCATCAGTTTGAAAATTGTCTCAAATAATGTAAAATATAAGTATTATAAATTATAGTAATTATTGAGAGTTTTTCATTAATAGGTTACATTTACAGCTGTAATAAAAACAATTTAGATGTCTATGGTTTGTCCCCATTTAAAAGAAAAATGTGTGTGAATGTGAATCCAATTAAATACACTCTGTGTGTGCGAGTTAAGTCAAACAGATCCTCTTACACATGTCCATGCTTGCCCCTTATCTGAAGCATTAATTATGTTTTCTTTTAATTAGTGTAAGTTCTTAATTAGTCCATTCATTAAGCATTCGGATCTCGTCCAGTGAGGGATTAGTCAAACTGTGGGAAGCTCAATTGAATAGTAAAGGAGCTTTTATATCAACCAGGATATTTTTGTATTGTTATTGTTAAATAGACATGTGGTCTATTTGTTTAAGCTCTCTAGTTTAACATGGAAAAAGTGCCAGTCTGTTGATATGCTTCCAGTTTAATTTCATTTTAACACGAGAACTACGCCAGCACTTTTATTGTTAAGGTCAAGGTTTTAAAGGCTGGCCAACTTTTGGCCAACTTTCCTTGTTATAGTTATGTGTCAACTAGACTATTAGCATCTTCTTGAGAATAAGTCTGCCTTGCTTTCTGCAGCTGGATGAGCCAGACTACTGAAAACTGAGCAGGCGTTATTGACGTATAAATGTGTCTGGCCATGTATGTATTCAGCATGCTAGAAAGTTTTGTTCAGAATAACTCATATTTGTGATTTAGTTTCAATAATACATTAGTGGTCTGTTTTCATTTGAGACTGCATGTTCTCTTATTACTTTGAACATTATTACAGAAGATCAAATATATTAAAAAGATTTTTTTAAAGCCTTAAACCAAACCAGCTAGCTCCAAGATGGATCCTAACATTACAACATTATAGACAGGAATGAATTACTCATCCCATGAATCATTATGAATCATATAATTCAGGTTTCCCAACCAGAGCTTTATGAGTTGATGAAAAGCTAATAATTGCGTTAATTATGCATTGCATTCATTTTAATGTGTTTAATGTGAATTTGGGAATGCGGTGTGTGCTAGGTTCACTTTATTTACATTCACATTCACATTCACATTGCAATAATAAATTACAGCATTTCCCCAGTGGTCTGTTAAAATAAAACCTTGAGAATTTGACGTTAAAAGCTCAAGGGTTTGAAAGTGAAAAATGTAATTAAATATTTAATTTTACTACTGTAACTTGAAGTTTCCCTTAGCAGTCGAATCTTTGTTTTTTTGTGTCTGGGTGTTTCATCCGTAGACATTTTATATGAAATTAAATAGCAGTTTAAATAGCAATCGTAGTATATGACAGAATAATCACAATAAAAATAAAAATAAAAGACTGTTTACTTGCATGTCATCTGACCATCAGCCGATATCAGAGAACTGTGAACATACAAATGTTAAATTATTGAAATATTTACTTTGACAAAAAGGAAGAAAAAAAAAAGTTTAGGAAATATATAGGGAAAAATAAACACAAGGATGCTAGGATGTCTATGTAAACATCTAGAAAAAAAAAGTAATAATATAAAACGATTAATTTACATAATTACTGTTTCATTTTCCTTTCTAAAGACTGGTTGGAAAATTGTGAGATTAATCATAATTATTTAGTAATTTTTTTTTTTTTTTTTTTTTTTAACATAGAGAACGTAGACAGACGACCAGCCATACAACAGTAAACGGAAAACAAAACAAATAAAAAAAAACCTATCAATAAAAACCGCAAATAAATAAATAAATAAATAAAATCTTTTGTTATTTTAGCATAGTTTTATGTTTCTCTTAAGCATTATACATATAGCTCCACCATTCTGGGGAAATACTTTTTTTTTTGCTGACTTTAATGTCATAGCTCTGGATAGTCACTACTGAAGTCTGGGATTGTGTGTGTGTGTGTGTGTGTGTGTGCACGTTTTTGTGACAAATGAGGACATAAATTTGTATAATGACAAAGGTATGACATAGGTATTACAAGGAGAAGGTGACTTTTCAGGACATTACCCCATGTCCCCACTTTTCAAAATGCATATAAATCACACAGAATGGAGTGTATTGAAAATCTGAAATAGCACAAAGTTTCCTGTGAGGGGTAGGTTTAGGGGTAGGGTTGGTGTAGGGCAATAGCACATACAGTTTGTACAGTATAAAAACCATTACGCCTATGGGATGTCCCCACTTTTCACAAAAACAAACCTGTGTGTGTGTGTGTGTGTGTGCGCGCGTGCGTTTGCGTGTGTGTGTTCCTGTGGATTTATCAACCAGTCAGTGTTGTCAGGATGTCATTTTCCTGCGGCTCCAAAGTGATTAGTCACATGACAGTTATGGCTCTGGTGATTGGCTGAAATTACCTCAGAACCGTCAAGTGCCCTCAAGCAGAGACGGCAGCACACGGGTCACATGCTTCCAGGAGGCCATTTGAGCAACTGCCACTGATATTAATGTGAATGCCCAAGGTATTATAGACCTATTTGTGTTTTACTCCAGAGAAGAAAGTTCTGACAGAGTGACATCTCTTGTAGAGGGGAACTATAAATCCCTGTGTAAATGATTTTATGACTGAAAGGGTCTTGATCTCCTACTACCTGCTGCTATATACCCTCGATCTTACAAGTATGAGTTTTATCTTGGTTTTGATGTGGGGAATATGGATCAGTGGAGTGGTTCCTCTGAGACCGGTCCTGGCCTCATTTCAATAAGCCTTAAATTATGCAGACTCCGTAATGATTGTGTGCAGAAGAAGCCTTTTCAATATGTGCACATGGAGGTGCTAAACACATTATATTTGCCTTAGGGACATTTTTTTTGACAGTTTAATCAGACTAGTTGCAAATGAGCAAAGTACTTGTCCTGTCTCTAGATACACAACCATTTCACGATCACAGGGAGTTTAATAAATCACCCAGCAGGTGTGTGTGTGTGTGTGTGTGTTCACAAGTAAGTTTAACTTTTAATAGTGTAATTAGAGGTTGATTGAAAGTGGATTTTGCCACTACCAATATTTAAGGTGGGAAAACAGGCCAGTAAGCTAGTTAGTTAATATGACAGTCAAAAATATAAATGAAAACTTTCCACTTAATGTAATGGTGCTAAATTGTATTACACATTTAACAAATAATGATTTATCCATGAAAATGTTTTGTAATTATTACATAAAAAAAAAAAAAAATGTTGATACACTACTGTGCGAAGGTTCAAGGTTTGTAAGACCAGTACAGTAAAACAGTAATATTGTGAAATATTATTAATATTTAAAATACCTGTCTTTTAATTGAATATATTTAAAAATATAATTTATTCCTGTGATGAAAAGCGCAATTTTCAGCAGCCATTACTACACTGATATCAATGTTGAAAACAGTTGTGCTGCTGAAGATTTTTGCGGAAACTGTGAATATTTATTTATTTATTATGAAACATTTAGGATTATTTGTGAATGAGTTCAAAAGAACAGCATTTATTTGAAAAATTATAATATTTTGTAATATGTTTATGGTCACCTTTGATCAATTTAATGTATCCTTGCTGAATAAAAGTATAATTTTTTTTTAACCATATTGACCCCAGATTTTTGAAAGGTAGTGTATACATTCAAACTGAAATCTCAAAATAAAATAAAATAAAATAAAGAAGTGATATACAAAATGAATCGTAGAACACTAAATAGCAACAGAAAGCAACTATCTGAAGCTGATATATTGGTTGACTCCAATAACCTTTCTCTTTGTCTTTTTGTGTTTTTAGGTCTTCGTAAATGAAAGAGTGTTGTGAAGAAGAGCCGCTCTGCCCATTCCTCCTCTCTGCTCTTCACCTCTTCACCTTTAAAACACTTTCTAGCAACCCTAAATCAGCCCTTTCTAGAGTATTGGAGAATTGGCTCTCTGATTCCCAGCTCTGGACAAAACACAGTTACTCGATCCAGCTGCCTCATTTAGATGCTCTTATACAAGTGGCTGTAAAACATATCTAAACAAAAAGGTCCAGTATTTTGTTGGTGTGGTGTGTGGTCCACGGGTTTGAGTTATTCAAGGGGAGTTCAGTTGTTGATGTTCACCGAGTTCCAGCTCTGTGTGTGTGTGTGTGTGTGTGTATGAGAGGAGGGCCATTGTGTGCTGTTTACCTTCACACGGGATTTGCTCAGTAAAACTGAGGAGGGAGCCAAGAGGAGGAAAATAGGTGCGGCCCAAAAAATAAGACAAAGCAAGCTGACCTCCTACAAAATAGAAGCAAAGGAAGCATAACATATAAATACAAGAAACAATTAGAGCTTGTTTTATGTCATAGTGTGATGTATAATTCTCATGATTCACTGTCAAATTCAGTTTTAGTCTTTTTTTTTTCTAGTTTTAAGTCTAAAGTCTTGATTTATATGCAGTGAATCCCAGATCACTGTATTTAGACACTCATATCAGACTAAACAATGTATAACAGTAATTACATTAGATCAAATATACATCTGGCTGAAGAATCACACTAATCACACTAATTTGTTTTCAGATTCTTACTGGTTTGATTTGCATCTAATGCAATGCCATTTGTGCATTTTAAGTGTGACTTGAGTGTTTTTGGGGTCACTGTGCATGCCGTGAGTATTTTTAATGTTAATAATCATCATTTATTGCACAATGTGTTTGTATCAGTCTTCAGAGTTGGGGCTTCCTCTGGCAGTCAGTCAGAACTGGCAGTACAATTATTACATAACCTCATTCTGTTTTCATAATTAATATTATAATAGGACTGGCTGATGTTATGAAAGACAAAAACGGTTCTTTCATCTGAATGGTGCTTGTAATCAAATATTAGTTTGTGAACAAATCGTCAGCATGTCCTTATGTGAATGAGTAACGGTTGAGTGGCTGTCAATGTCTTTCACTGTAGATGCAGAGCTACTGTAACTGTTTACTGGAAACATAAACCTCAAAGCACAAATGACTGACCTGACATGTATCATAGTGTGTGTGTATGACATGTTTTGAACTGTTTTGACTGTGTATTTCTCTCCAAATTGAGATGTGAAGGCAAAAGGCAAAAGGTCAGTATGTATTTTCTAGCTTTCATAGTCTTAGCTTTCATACTTGTAATCCCAGATGTTTCATATCATAAGACTTGTGTACTGTATTGGCAGCATTTTTGGTCCTAGTGGCCTGATGGTAAAGGAACGGGGCATATTGAGGTCTTAAAGGAATAGCTCACCCTTGCTCTTGCCTATATACCTTTATTTTTCTCTTGGAATGCAAAAGGAGAACTTTTGAAGAATGCTCATGTTGCTCTTTTGCATACAATTAAAAAGGTCAAACAAAGCACTTTAAAAGTGGCCAGTCTTAAAAATACAGGACTTTTATTGCCATCTGTGGTTCCATGAAGAAACTTTAACATCCATGGAAAAACTTCATTACACAAAATTACAACAATTCTTCATATTGTTCTTTCCTTGAAAAAATGGTTCTCTGCAAGGTTATTCGGGGAAAAAACCCTTTTGGCACCTTTATTTTTTTATGAGTGTGTATGACTTGTGCCATACAGTATGTTCCAAGTCGTCAGAAGTCATACAATAGCTTTGTGCTTTTGTTGTATGGAAAAGAGCAGCATGAACATTCTGCAGAACGGGGGACATTTTATCAATTAGTCTGTTAACTAAATGGCAAAAACTAACATTTTCAGCTTAATAACATTAGCTTACAGTTATCTTGTACAATGTTCTGTTAGGTCCTCGTCAAATCTATCCTGCCCCCCTGTGTTCAATGTCTTTCTGTACAAGACAACTCAACTCTATGGACCAGGAAAACTGCATTTTCTAGCACTCTCTGAAAATACTCGTGTACATTTGTAATTGTAGCATTTAGAATATTCAATATAGGACAGCAATGATAGTCTGCTGCATACATGTTATAAGGAGAAAAAGAATGATATAGATTTATATCACACCTCTCCCCTCATCTTTAGGTCTCTTTTTACAGGTGTTTTTTGTAAGCACTTTTTGTATCTCTTTTCTGTGTTTGGTCTCTTCTCCATAGTTCTTCATTGACTGCCTGTCCATCAACACGTGTTTGCTGACCAGAGTGTAAATAGATGTTTGTTAATAAAAATATGCTTTTCATGTACCGATTACACATTTTGTTTGTGTTTGGATTGGTGCTTCTGTCTTTGGCCCAAAAACATGACAAAACAGACACACATCCTACAAGCCTCCTCTGCAGATAGAAGAGGTTAAAACCTGTCCTGTGCCTATTTTGGTGTTACCAGTCAGAAATGAGTGGCCTTTTAAAAATTTCTCGTTATGCTATATTATCACTAAATCTTGGATTCAGTCTTTTTTGTAAAATCAATTACCACAGGTTTTGCATTTCTTTTTTGAAACCGATTGCTCGTAGGCTTCATTGATCTGAGCTTATGCACTTCAGTTTTTGAGTGGGAAAAAAAAGGGGGATAATTTTGGCAATATTCGGTAAAAAAATAGTACAAAGTACAAAAATTATCCAGCCTTGTTATATACCCTCTGCAAGTAAAGTCAGTAGGTTTTAGTCCAATGCGAAAACATCATTTTCAAAAAAGAAAATTCTCTACGGGTCAAAACAACTGGAACTCAATATGAGGGTTAATATGTAACAGAAGCAGAGCTTTGACAAAGATGTGCAATGCAAATTGTTTTATTAATGAAAATAGAAGTACAATGTGTTAATACAGTAATAATAAAATATTATTATACAATATGATCTCTTATAAACTGCCATCTGAAAATTCATTTGATATGTTTTTAAGATTTAAAATTCACAAAAAGCTGTTGACTTTGGCATGACACAAAATCAACTGGTTTTGTCCAGAACTTACAAGCATGCAAAACATTTGAAAGTACAGTGAGGTCCAAAAGTCCACATAAAAAAATCTGGGATTTAAAATCTCATTTAAACCTGGAAATTAACAGTGTTTTTACGATTGTGTATGTATGTATGTATTTATTTTAGATTTATTTTAGATCACTAATGAATTTTTTTGTACAGATATAAGTGCTGCTGTCATTAAATTATGGGGAAAAACCCAATTACTATGACATTCTGAAATTAATATTATTTCAATCTCACTAAAACTGATATATAAGCTGATATATAAATAATGATATATAAGATTATATAGCTCTATAAACTTGTGTGTGTACATATACAGTATATATATATATATATATATATTTCTATTTAAAATGTATTAAACTAGACTTTAGATGTAAAGTGGGCTTTTGGACCCCTGTAGCTTTAATGTATAGCCAAATATCAAGGAATATGTGACCCTGGACCACAAAAGCAGTCTTAAGTCGCTGGGGTATATTTGTAGCAATAGCCAAAAATACATTGTATGGGTCAAAATTATCGATTTTTCTTTTATGCCCAAAATCATTAGGATATTAAGTAAAGATCATGTTCCATGAAGATGTTTTGTAAATTTCCTACAGAAAATGTATTAAAACGTAAGTTTTGATGGGTAATATGCATTGCTAAGAACTTCATTTGGACAACTTTAAAGGCGATTTTCTCAATATTTTGATTTTCAAATAGTTGTATCTAGGCCAAATATTGTCCTAACAAGCCATACATCAATGGAAAGCTTATTTATTCAGCTTTCAGATGATGTAAAAATCTCAATTTCAAAAAATTTACCCTTATGACTGGTTTTGTGGTCCATGGTCACATATGTGTTTGTGTCAGAGCACTGATGCTGATTTGAAAGCTATTTATAACATTTGTAGAGTATTTTTAGCACTATATATCCCAAATGCAGTACAGTTCTTGCTAATGACACGGTTGTGCAATAGTATGTTGCTGTGTATGTGCTTCAGGACATGAATGCTCGCACACTCCCCCGGATGACTGCACTGCATATGGGGCAGTGGCGCAGACTGGCTGCGCAGTCCATGCAGACGTCCAGGTGACCACAGGGGATGAAGACCATGGAGACGAGTTTGTCCATGCAGACCTTACAGGTCCTCTTTTCCTGAAGCTGTCGCAACTGATCCTCTGGACTCAGGTCTGATCGCACTGAAAAACACACAAATACACAAGTTAGGATGTTTCAGATCAGTCTGGGTCAGTTGAAATGATTGATAGTGTGATCTGTTTCATCCCAGGAGCTTCTAGATGGAGAGAAGATTAAGATATACCCAAACAAACACATTATAAGTGCAATGACAGCATGTTAATATGGACCTTTCTCCCTGTCTGAGACCTGCGTTCTCGGCGTTCTCTGCCTCTCCACAGTCTCTGAGGGAACAAACCATCCACACGTTAGAGGGAATGGCACATCATATTTTTTATTGCGATTAACAACACTTGGCTATCAAACTATAGGTGGCATTAAAGAACTAGTTCACACAAAATTAAAAGTCTGTCATTATTTACACAAAACATGTCTACAAATGAGGCCCAGAAGGATGGAAAAGAATGCAGGGTCTCAAGTGTATTTAAAACTTATTTTAATTTGATGTTGTTCATTGCTACTTAAAAACATGTCGCTCATGTGCAAGAAAAATCGGTGAGTTCAGAGCAACATAATTGTCAAACACATTCATCTAGTTCTTGTTTATATGGAATATGGAGGAAAAAAAACATTAAAATTAGTGCAGTGGAATGCAAAAACTGTTGATGCAAATCCTGGAACACAAAAAAATAGAATGAAAAAAAAAACTGCCAAGGTCAGGATTTTTTCTAAATAATAACTTCAATTCTGTTTTTCATCCAAACCCTATTTCATGCCTTCAGAACACTTAAAATATACAGCACAAGTTGCATGGAGTATTTTGATGATACTGTACCTTTGCATCCTTTTTTAAAGCTAGAAGGTGGTCCCCAGCGAACAAATATGTTTTAAGAACGTTTTGCTAACGTTACCATTAAGTTATGAGAGTTATTTTTGAATGTTCTCTAAACATTCAAAATGTCCAGTTTTTTATGTTTTAAAAAACTTTTTTTTCCCAACCAACGTTAAAGATAACATTAAGGGAATTTTACTTTTAAATGTTCTCTGACTCTGAGTGGTCTAAAGCAAATAGTAATAATGTTAGATGAACATCCAACTTAAAAAAATTTCAAAAATTAACAATGTATAAATAATGTTTTTAACTAACATTCTGAGAACGTTATTAAAGACCAGATAACTTTAAACGAACGTTCTATTAACATTACTGGAGAGAACCTTGCCAGAACGTTCTGAGAGCATTCCCTGTTAGCTGAGTCGATGTTCATTGCAATTATATGGACAAGCACAACCTTGTGTGTTCCAAAGAAAGAAGGGTATGTGACAGTATAACAACACCAGGGAGAGTAAATAATGACTGAATTGTAATTTTAGAGTGAACTGTTCCTTTAAATCTCCTTCTATAGATCTTAGTCAGGGTAGCGCCATATTTCATATTTGACAAGAATGAAAACGAGGCTGTGAGGGACTGAAGTACTGTGCGTTTGATTGTTCAGCTGATGAAAAAGAAAAACTTTCAGTAGACTTAAACTCTATAAAACAGTTTTGAAAGTTGTGAGTTGTGAAAAGTATATATCTGGGACCTTTATACAGTGCGTGCCATTGTAAAGACTGTAAGTCTATCCTTCACAGCCTCATTATCATCCGCATTAAATTCAATGGTCAATAGCATCATTTAAATTATGTAAACTTTAGGTTACGTAATTTAGATTTGTTCTATATTGATAGAGGGTTTGGAAACAGAGGGCGCTCCACACCTGGTCTGGGCTCCCCCGTCTGCCTTTCCTCCTCCTCGGCCTGTAGGACGTCGGTTACCAGGTCAGAGACTGAGGTGTAGTGTGAGCCGGTGAGCAGGTAGTGTGACTGCACCAGACTCTCCGCTAGCGAGTCCTGGAAACCCATCTGCAGCACCACCTGCACCACAGGGGACAACATGGCTGCCGCCACTGAGTTCTGCCCACCCAGCACCTCTGCCAGCTGGACAGCACACAGGAACATGAGTGCATGCGTAAGGGGGACTGTGCGCTTCACTTGTGAGGGCCACATTTATAAAAATATTCTTAGTGAGAAAGTTATTGCTAGTAAAAAGGTTCATAAAGGGGCCAAGCGGGTTTTAATTAAAATCTAAAAACGCCAAAGGTGTCTTTAAAGGAAGAGTTCACACAAAAATAAAAATTTGCTGAAAATTCATTCACTCTCAGACCATCCACGATATAGATGAGTTTGTTTCTTCATGGGAACAGATTTGGAGAAATGTAGCATTACATCACTTGCTCACCAATGGATCGTCTGCAGTGAATGGGTGAACTATTCCTTTAAGGGTGCTTTATTACAACAAAAATTTATTTGCTTTATTACAACAATGTTTTTTTCTAGGTCCTCACAAGTAGATATAAATAGAGCTTGTGTGTATGATCTGTTATGCAAAGCAAGATATTGCTGCGGGTAATTTATTCAATGATTTATTGATTAATTTAAAACTGCAAAATGTTATCTCAAAAGACTGAAAGTTAGAGTAACACTGATCATCGTTATTGTTAGTTGGTGAGGACAGAGAAAAAGAGAAGGTCCTTTGCTTGGGTGAAAAATAAAATAAAATGCATGGCAGCATAAAATGCAACCTGATATTTCCTGCTTATTAAACGGCTTCTTGCCCCAAAATAAATACAGTTAATACTGATTTGGGTTTATTTTATTGTTTTAGAGATACAAGTACAGCTATGAAGGAATCATTTATTTCCAGGATAAGCAGTCCGTGTTATCATGGACAATGGTTATTATTCAGAAATATCTGAGTGCTGAACACTGTGAGTGACCAATCAGAATCAAGTATTCTAGAGAGCCGTGTAATAAGCACACATAAGAGTCTGTTTATTCATATAACACAAGCACTACCCACAAAAATGGAACATTTTACAGGACATAAGAATTGCAGGAAATACGTAAAGTCAGGAGTTTTCAAATAGGGGCCTGATGATGCCCCCCAGGGGCCACAGGGGGGTGCTAAGGAAAATTTGAGATAAAATAATTTTATTAAGTAAGAAACAAATCTGTATATAGTTTTGTGAAAAATCATTTAAAATAATTATTTTTCTTTATTACTGGTTGTATGGCTCTATTTTGATTAAAGCTACTTTTAAGCTATAAGCTACACAAATAAATCTGAAATTAATTGAAAATATATTTGTATTATCTATTTTATGCTTTTGTACACAGTATTAATGGCTCTATATATGAAAATATAAAACTGTCTTTATATTTCAGTGAGGAGCTCCTTGCAGGGGGATCACCATATTTGGAGTCCATGGTCCTTATTTAAACATTTGAAAACCACTACACTGTGCCTTTAAAAAAAGTTATTTTGGATTGACTTACCTGATCTATTGTTTCCTGCAGCTGATGACAGAGATCCACCCTTTAAAACAAAGAAAAACATTTAAAATGTATAGCAATCTTGCAAACATACTTAGTTGTTAAATTGACCGTAAACTGAGTGTTAGGCGCATCATTATTGCTTACCACTCTCTCATTCATGTTGAAGTAAGACTGCTGGACATTGCTCACATATTCCCGTCCTCTGGATTGAAGCAAATATTCACATCTTTGGAAGCACATAGACAATATTAATAATGACCATACGTGCACTAAAAACACTAAAACAACATCAGTTTGGATTTTAATGTACTAAATGTGTCTTTAGTATTCTCTGATTACTTTGTATTGTACTTAGCTATTGTGGAATAAAACCTTCCTGTGAGCTGAAATTCTCTTTAAATCATCTGCATGTCGTTTTGTGTATTTTTGCGATTTTGGATCCCCCTACTGTTAAGATAGTGGAATTCACTGTCGTAAATATATCACTGTCGTAATTACAGTGGATAGTATGGAAGCTCGTTTCCATCATAGGATAAAAAAATAAACAGGATGATTGCGAGATTCTGAGAAAAAAAAGAAGAAGAACACGATATAAAGTCAGAATTGTGAAATATAAACGCAAAATTGCGAGATATAAACTCGTAAATTCTGAGAAAATTTTGTGATAAGACTATAAAAAGTAGCAATAACCTTATTTATTTTTCGGGGCGGGAAAAAGAATTGCAAGATGTTTCATAGTGAAACAAATAATAATTGCAAGATGTAAACTCAGAATTCAGAAAAAAAAACGTTTTTTCGTAGAATTGTGAGTTTGTATCTCGCAATTCTGAGTAAATGTCACATTTCTGACTTTTGTTTCCTTGAAATTGTGAGGAAAAAGTTCAATTTGTGAGATTAAAAGTCACAATTAAACTGATTGTTTTGATTAGATTTTTTTTTTTTTTACACTGTGATGGAAATAAGCTTAGGATAGCTGAACACGTGCATTTGTTGCTGCCGTAAAGCGATTTGCCCTTTTCGCAGAATTTCGTACCTGCTAATCAAACTTACTAGGCACATAACGTTACGTTTTTAAGGGAGCGTGGGAAAGAAACATAAGTCAATCACCTTATTAGAAATCAGTGTAGGCCTCCCATCAGACTTATTTTGAAACTGATATTTAAGGGTAAAAAAAAAAAAACTTACAGAAACAGAAACTCACTGAGGAAATCATTTGGCGTGTTCCTGCCAGGGGTCATCTCCTGGCTCCCGGTTCCTCAGACCGCCGTCACAAAAGAAACACTTCACATTGTCACCATGACCTAAGAAACGTACAATCTCTACCATCTTCTAAAAAACACATTATATTTAACAGATACAGTGTAGAATATACGCATATCTAAACCTGCATATGTCATTTCTAATCAAGAAGTTCCAACACAATTTTCTTCATCAGTAGGCTAATAGCCTAATTTAAAATGGTCAAAATAAACGTGACTGTTTTATGTTTTATTTTGATACTTTTTAAATGAACATAATTGTATTGTTTAATGACAGCAAGTGATGTGCAATTTTTGAAAGCATATCAGAATAATAAGCGCAGCGCTTGTGGGCTCTCTAGTTCATTCCGTTCATTCACAGAGTGCGCGTGACTGACCCTGGTGCCACAAAACAGAAGAAAGTTTCGCTCCCGCGCCGAGTGGGCACCACATAGAATCACAATCATAATTTCGTTTGGAATTTCATTTCGATTACTTTGTTTTGCTCCCAAAACAACTTTTATTCTTGCTTTAGTCTGAGGGAATCGGCTCTCTTGATATAAATATAAGACAAACCCATCCACTGGCTTTTTTTTTTTTTTGGCCCTCATTTCCTCATATCTTGAGGCTGCCAAAGTTAGTTTAAAATTAGCTACAGAAATACATCTCAATATTTACAACGCTTGTAAATATTTTCAAGTAATATTTACAAGTAAATCTTCAATTATGCATAGGCTACTCTGTCGGTAGTTACGTTACAAAAGTTGTGTCCAGTTAATTTTTTTTAACTATCCACATTTTTTCCCGTAAGTGCTGGCGTGGACATTTGTAAATAATGTGTCTGGTTTCCGGTCTCATCCGAGTCCAGCTATTTTTAGCTGTACAAAACGTTTTGCTGCTTGACATTGCAAATTGGTGTGTCTTACCATATTATTTTAATGTATTATCTTAATTATTAACACACTGGTTTGTAATGGAAACAAGTTTTACCGCTTACTGCACGTATTCTTCTCGTTATTTCCCTACAGCAGCTAATGAACCGGAAGTCTCGCACATAGGCTTACTTCGGCGTTGAAGAATAGCTTTTAAAGGGGTCATATGATGCAATTTCATTTTTTCCTTTCTCTTTGGAGTGTTACAAGCTCTTGGTGCATAAAGAAGATCTGTAAAGTTGCAAACGCTAAAGTCTCAAATCCAAAGAGATATTCTTTATAAAAGTTAAGACTTGTCCACACCTACCTAAAACGGCTCATTCAAACACGCCATCCACATGTCTACGTCACGATGTGGGAAGATTTGCATAACACAGCCCAAATGTTCACGCAAAGAAAGAAGGCATAACTTTTATTCTCGCTGTAGTATTGTTGCCGCTGCCGCCATGTCGTGAAGGCGCTGTGTGCTT